GGAGAACTAACAGAATTAGGACACAAACAATCCTTTGTAATTCAGGATCTCCTGCTTGTTGGTATTGTAGATGTGGACACAAACAATCCTTTGTAATTCAGGATCTCCTGCTTGTTGGTATTGTAGATGCAGACAATCCTTTGTAATTCAGGATCTCCTGCTTGTTGGTATTGTAGATGTGGATGCAGACAATCCTTCGTAATTCAGGTTCTCCTGCTTGTTAGTATCAATGTAGACATATTTTTCCATTATAATTTGGAACTAAGTTTCATTATTTCAAATCGGTTGGAATTCATAGTGTATGTAATATAATGTATGTTTAAAGCTCAAATTTTCTGGTATTTTATTTTGAAAGACAGTGTTTCTGATATTAACTCAGTGGTTGTTTACTATGCTTGTAAAGGTATTTAACTCATCATATACAGGATGTTTTAAACCTCAAAGTAAATATAATTTCTCCTGTGATTTTCTATACATCTCCCAGTATGCCTGTTTATTATATAATCCATTGTTTTATCTGTTACTACGAAAGATTTTCCAGTCTGTCCAGCACAACGCTTTAAAGGTTTAATGTGGAAACTAACAGCAGCAAACTCGGAATATAAACATCACTGTCCAAAAGGATTCAGAGGTGGGCATTTTTGTGTTTAGTAATTGTTTTTATGTTTACCTATGTGTCTGTGAACAACTGTCTCAAAGTAGACTTATGAGAATCATATATATGTCATATATAGATGTACCAATCTACAGAAAATTGTGAAAAGTGGCTGCCCTACATGACATTAGATAATTAAGGGGGAGAGCTACAAGTAGTGTTTCTTCTAAATGTTCCTTAGTTACCAGTTAAAGTTTCATATGAGTAATCTTCGATAAGATAAATAAGTTGTGAAAAGAAGTTATTAAATCAGACTAGATAGTCTACTTCTGTTAGCTCTCCAATCTATGTTACTGTTTAACCAGACTAGATAGTCACATCTACAATACCAACAAGCAGGAGAACCTGAATTACAAAGGATTGTCTGCATCCACATCTACAATACCAACAAGCAGGAGAACCTGAATTACAAAGGATTGTCTGCATCCACATCTACAATACCAACAAGCAGGAGAACCTGAATTAAAAAGGATTGTCTGCATCCACATCTACAATACCAACAAGCAGGAGAACCTGAATTAAA